CGACTTAAGGTCTTGTAAGCTGTAGAATCGCACACTGACCTGCGTTAACCGGCGTGGCTCTCTGCTACACTGTAGTGTCATTTACATGATACAGGTAGACGGCGTGTCTGTCCTACGCTGCTACAGGTTAAGGTTTGAGACTCGAACGAATGGCTGGAGCAATATGAGACATGGCCGAGGAGCGGCGTAATCGTATCTTATGATGAGTTTCATCAGCATGTATATCCGTGTATGTACGTTGTGTGTGGTCCTAATAAAATTCCTTCGTCGAGGAGACTAGGAGCATTGTGAAAGACAGCAAGTGACGTTAAATGAAATGGATTCCTTGAGGATTACTTAAAGTCGTTTAGATTGGATATTCAGAAACATTCTATACCGAGAACTGTTCGAATATTATCCTGCTTTCTGTTGATTCGACAAGCGTCTGTAGTTGAACTACAGTATGTCTGTGTACGATACACTATCATGAGCGCGTATTCGGTTGACGTGTACGCCCCGCGGTGGCGGAAAATTCATGTAAACACGTTTGCGACAATCACATGTGATCGTGCAGCTAAAATCGACGCGGGTTGTAGTGACGTGTAAGCGCGGCCGCAGAGTAGTCGGACCGACCTTTCAAGTAGGGACGTTGCACCCAGTACAGCGTGACGACCTTTTGCGATGATGCTCAAACATGAAGACACTATCTGGCTGTGCGCGTTGCTTGTCAACATCCGCGTGCAAGCTTTGGTATGTATCTTTACTAGTATGTGGTGTTGTCAAATAAAACGAGGTAATGATCTATCCCGCCTTCTCCATCTCTCTCTCTCTCTCTCTCTCTCTCGTCCTCTCTCTCTCTCTTCTCTCTCTCTCTGTCTCTATCTCTCTATTTACCCCCTAACCCCCTCTTTATCAGCCTATCTATTGACCTATCTATCTATCTATCTATCTATCTATCTATCTATCTATCTTATCTATCTATCTATCTATCTATCTATTATCTATCTATCTATCTATCTATCTATCTATCTATCTATCTATCTATCTATATCTAGTTCTATCTTATCTATTCTATCTATCTATCTATCTATTCTATTATCTGTCTATCTATCTATTTATCTATCTCTCTGTCTGTCTGTTGTCTGTCTGTCTGTCTGTTATCTGTCTGTCTGTCTGTGTCTGTCTGTTCTGTCTGTCTGTCTGTCTGTCTGTTTGTCTGTCTGTCTGTCCTGTCTGTCTGTCTGCCTGTCTGTCTGTCTGTCTGTCCGTCCGTTGATTCTCCGTCCGTCGTCCGCGTCCGTCTGTCTGTCTGCCTGTCTTCGTATAACGCAATAACACCTTGTAAACGCTCACAGTTTTCCACTTACCTGATACATTGTGCTTCGTACATTCTCATCTAGACAGGAACTTTATCATTTGTAACCGTCTAGAACATGCCTGAACTGAGATAATGAATGATCCTTTTGCCACCAGCGACACGCTAAATCTTTAAATTAATACTCAGTATGGCGCTTTTCGACAATCCACAAACGTTGTATACAGTAATATATTTCTATCTTCAATGAGTAACGCGAAATGCACCATTCATTCCGTTTAATTCGAATTCTGGCTGCATTTTCAGCTGTACTTTTGGCCAATCCACATAGCCTGGATTCTACTTACGATCGTGCTGCATCTATCCGTACAGCATCCTACGGTCGAGTTTAACAAAGCCCCGCTTGATGTAATGACATCAAAGGAGTATCTCCGCGAGCAGGCGTGGAAGTACCCGCCACACAGGACTCGGTGAGGACATTCCTGTAGGAAGGCTGGATGTCATACTAAACGATGGCCGCTCGACACAACTTCTTTCGACGTACCAAAAGGAGCGAACATTTTTACGCCGACACATCTGCGGAGCATCAGGCGAGTAGAGGAAGAAATCTTGTCGGCAAGGACTATAATTATTCTGCGTCATGGACTCAACTGCTACGAAATGTGCAAGGCCTAAGTCTATCATTCGGTTTTTGACGGCACCTATTACAATGTGGATCCCATTTTAACGATCCGGATTTAGCCAGTCAGCCAAAGTTCTCGAAACGGCATAGACTGCTACCTGAATTACTTGTATTCCATATTGGTGCTGATAAGCGGGAATTTTACAAACACGGTGTAATTAAGTCGCATATCACAAGAACGTTGTATGTTGCATTTTGAAAATGGACGTGGACAAGGAGCGCTGCAGGAATATCGGAGAATCACCGTTTGTCCTAAGCTAATGAAGACACGTGCGGACGGAATCAACGACATGACTTTCTATTACTTTAATTCCTACCTCTACGTGGAAACTGTACGAGCGCTAGTTACCGCGGACCTAGCACTAGCTGTCGCAGCTTTTTTCATTTTGTTCTTCATTTGGTTTCAGACGGCCGCTCGGCATTCATAACTGTATGGCAACATTCAGCATCATTGCAAACTCTTCGCAACAAATATGATCTACAGAATTCTACTGGACTACAGATTATTTGGTGTCTTTCACGTCCTCTCCATTTTCATAATCCTAGGAATTGGCGCCGATGATATCTTGTGTTTTACGATACGTGGAGAGCGTCGTCTCGGGAGAAATACTTGTCGCGTGGAGCACCGTCTGTCCGCCTGTTATCGCAAGGCCGCCAAGTCAATGCTGATCACGTCTGCCACCACGGCGCTGGCGTTCGTCGCGAAGCGCATCATCGCCGCTTCTTGTCTCCACAGCTTTGGTTTATTCTCAGCTATATTGTCATGGTCAATTATCTGTCAGTCATCACATTTTCCCTGCCGTGATATTGGAGTACCACCTCAGATGGCAGACCTGTCACCCGAGCTGTTGTGGAGGGCGCACGCCGAAGCCATCGTCCCTTTCTGTCGGCAACGAGAATGTACGCCTGATAATTCGCAGACGATTCCGAATCCAGTAATTCGTTTCTGGCCGGATGGTACGCCACGGTTTTTCGGAATCGGATATTTTGCACAGTGTGCTGCTTGTATTTGCCGCACAAGTGGCTGGTTCGGCGTATTACGCATTTCAAATGGAACCAGAATCAGGACCGGTGAGATTATTTATTTCAAGAATCTTAATAATTACAAACTTCATAATAATAATAACATTATAATAATAACATTATAATAATAACAATAACAATAATAATACAATCCCTGTGTTGGCGACCTAGATTGTTCACGTTTTTGAACTCTATATAAATATTCCGTATAGGCCTACACGTGAGCTAATAAAAAGCATGACAAGACCCGTTTCCTGTGATTTAGGAGCTGTTTTATGAGACTCGTGTCCTTAACTAAAATTGTAGACGGTGATAATTCTAAACTCAATAATATCATAGGTGAGTTGGGATTTTTTTTCTTGTAGGTAAGTGTTCTAAAATCAAGTAACATCAATCAAAAGGGTATGGATTCAGCCAAGATGCATTTCTAGCTACAGCTGAAGACGATGTTATAGAAGTATATTTAGTCTGGGGACTAAAATTGCCAGTATGTGTCTATATCTACATTAGATCTATATCTATATCAATTTATCAAATCTATCAATTTAGATCTATCTGTATTCTTATCAAACTACACATCTGTACGTTAACCTTAAACTTTTACGATGTTTGACATCACAACTGGTTTTATTCTTCTGTAGGATATGAGCGGGTGTCATAAGACAGTTTCGAATGTGAGGAGTTATCGGGTATGATAGGACATTTACTCTAAATCCCCAGCGACTCAACAAGCGTTATTGGCAAGTATTAATTATTGTTCGGCGCGCTTACGCAAATTCAAGTTGTTTTTTCCAACCGATACGTCTAGATGTATGCATTCACTGTGCAGTGCTTACATGTTGCCGTGCATCGATGGGACCAATTCAATCAAAGGTCGGTCGTCGTGTACCTTACATTGTGATTCGCGTTGTGATAAAATAACCCTGCTGGCAATTCTGGCCCTGTAGCGATTGTGTAGAAAACTACGCAGCGATCTAACGTCGGAGGAAGCGGAAATGCTCAGGATACCCGTCACCCTGTGGTCAGGAGAAGCGGAAGTCTCTTGCTTCATCGAGGACATGGCAGCATTCTATGAGGTATTTGCTCTGCTCATGTTCGTCTGCATCTACTGCGCACGTCAGTCACCGCTGAATATTGCGATTGTGAAAAGTGACCATTGCGCCTGAAGACGCAAGCTGCATGCGTTTTTAGCAGACGTGCAATAATACTGATTTTTTATCTTACCTTCCCCCGACAGAATTCTCGGCAATCGTCGAATATCACTGATGGCGTCACCTTTCTCTGTGTCAGCGGCGAGCGCTAAAAACCTGGCAATGGCTCATCCTGAGATCTACGGAGCTGGCGGCTTGCTCGACAACTTCTACCGCTATTTGAGGTATATCTCACCTTCGCTGTCGTAATTATTTCTCGCCGATATCAATATATATATATATATATATATATATATATATATATATATAATATCAGGAGTTAATAAAGACAAACTTGTCTTTATTAAGTCCTGATAATATATATAGTGTAAAATGCAATTCGTTACCCTTGCTTTCGTTAATATAATATATATGCATTGCGTGCGTGCGTTGCGTGCGTGCGTGATGTGTATGTGTGTGCATGTGCGTGCGTACGTGCGTGCGTGCGTGCGCGTCGCGTGCGTTGCGGCGTGCGTACGTGCGTGTCGTGGTGTGCATTGTGTGTGTGTGTGTGTGTGTGTGTGTGTGTGTGTGTGTGTGTGTG